AATAATGATAAAGATGCACAAGATGTTCTTTTAGCACGCTGCCTTAACGCATCATCACAAGAACTTGAGGAATTTTTTAACGACCTTTTAGAGCTCCTATGCCAATATGCTGATATCTACATACCAACTTTAAAATCTTATCTTTCCTACATTTATGAACAGTATTCGTGTATTGGCATGCTTTCAAATTTTACATCGATGCTGATCACTATAGTTATGATAGGAAATATACACTATTCAGATAATCCAGAGTTCAGAGAACTCTTCCATCTCTGTGTAGAGCTTCTTTGGAAGGTCTCAAATAATAGGACGGCAACCCAAACAACTGAACGCGTCTTCAATGAGATTGTGGATACTCATGGTGTTTTTGGCATTTGGATTTCAGACAAATCTGGTCGTCATTGCATAAAGCGAATTTTGTTTAGCTTCAATATGTTAAAAATGATCGATCGCAATAAGGCATTAAAAGCGGTAGATATGGTTGCATCTCTCGTGGAGAATTGTTCTGATCACAATAACGATACGTCACAATTACCAGAAAAGCTTTCTGAATATAAAGCTTGCACGGCATTGTTGGAAACACTAACAAGTTATCAGAATGCAGAACGTATCAACTCAGACGCTAGAAGGAATTATTTTTTGCCAGAACTACAAGACATGATTAAACTTGATAAAACTGATCCCGAAACTCAAAATTTTGATGAGGAATTTATTACCTTTAAGTCTGTGACAACAACTAAACTCTTATCTCTCTCAACTCAAGATGAACAAAATCTTGCTATCTTGGGAATGGAAGCTCCTAGAAAATTATCAGAGTTAACTAGCTTTTTACGAGTCCTTAAAGAACGAAAAATAGATTTGCTTAAGGTAAGTCAAAATATAGATAAACAAATGTTTATAACTGATATGACAAAACTAATTGTTAACTTTTCTTAGGTTTTAATCGAATTTTTACCATGTGAAAATTGTCACAGACAAGCTCTTGTTTATTTCTCTCCAGATAAATATTCTTCCCTCATGAATGATAATGTGTCTGAGACAATAGATTATGATTTAATCCTATCAGAACGTCGGCTTCCATTTGAATTTAGCGATAGTGACAAGTTAGGTCCATGGGACGTTCTGCTAAGTGAAGATGCTATTAGTGATATGCGAAATTTAGAGTCTCCTCAAATGATTAAGGCGGTTATGAAAAAATTTGGGCATATATCCTCCGGAAAATGGGATCAATATGAG